ATGGAGCATCGAGGTGGAAAAGACAATGCGGCAGATAGCGCGGAATGACAGAAGATGGGAGACAGCAGTAGAGAAAGAGAAGGAGGACTGGAGAGAGCACAGCCGAGATGGATGATAAAGCTGAAATATAGGAAGAGAGAGAGAGAGAAATAGATGAAAGACGTGTCTGCTAAAGTCGTGTCGATGGATCCCGTTGTCGTTTGTACTCGCATTTATTGTGCCGTCACGACTCTCTGCACTGAGCGACGGCGCGAAGGAGAGGCTGCTGCCAAGAGACGAGAGTGGAGAGGAGAGCGTTTCACGCAACAGGCATGAGAAATATCCGCGGAAGAGTGTCACGAGCAGAGAGACGCGTCTCTGAACATCTCTCGTTATTGTAGGGAGGACGGCTTCGCGAAAGCGAGACGCATCGCCGCACCTAAAATAGCATTCTGAAAATGTTCGAGTATCGGAGTTGAATGTCTTCGAGTAAAGAGCGAGAGAATTATCGAGGAGTATTTACATCGAGCCATAAATCTCAATCGCATAATACAAAAATCAAATAAATTTCATGAACAAAAAAAAGTTCGTCGCTTGCAATGCGCTTCCACGTTTTGTAAGCATGATGCGTATTACAGTTTTCATAAATTTTACTTAAAATCAACCTTTGAGACTTGCTTGATAATCCTACGTCGTGTCCGCTTTTCTGTTTCTCGAAAATGGCGGAGATTCAGTTAAACCGCGATAAACCGCGGTTAGCGTTAACCAATATTTATGGTGTGCTGCGAAACAAAGGTTCGCCGAATTCCGCGCGTGGATTACGAAAGAAAGCAATTAGCCGTACGGCTAATCAAAACGAATGATCCGCGGAAGAGCGGCGCTCTAAACCCGGACAGGCCGACAATAGAGAAGACAAGGTTACTCCGGGTTACCTACTTTTAATTGCGAGCACGTTTTACGCTCGACGGAGCGCGCGTCGCACCGGACGGAGCTATAAATTTCCAGCCCGAGCGCGTATCCCCGCTGCAACCACAAAACTAATTAGTCCGGCAGTAATTAATCTTTCATCCGCAACGCGGGCGACGCACCTGTCTATCGTCTCCCGAACGAGGCAATCGCTCGGCGCGATTTCGTATCTCTTCGGCGAAACGATCGCTCGGAGGCTACTTAGAATCGTTTCTCGATATTGCGATACCGCCCATGATATTGCTCCGACATCGCGTTTCTTTAAGAACCACTTAGGTGGAACACAATATTTGATATCAATAATATCTCTAGCCGTTACTATACGATACAATCTCTCTAAATATTGCTGTCTTATCACGTTCGCTATCACACGCCACATATGTCCCTTGTGAGAGACCGATATCGCATGTGATTTAAAATTACTCTTTGAAATACATAATATAGCTGATCTAGAAAAATATAGAGTATGTAAAATTATTATTCAAAAAATTCAATTAGCCTCTTTAATACATTCTGTGTGTATAATCGCAGAATACATGTTATGTTAAATAAAATTATTAAAAATGTAGCATTGTTTACAATACAAAAATTTTTCCAATTCAACCGTGTGGAATGTAAACACATACCCACCACTCCTCCTTTTTAAGGTTCATTTAGCTTAAAATAGGTTTTCACTCACGAGTGAATTTGTCTCAAGTCTCTAATGATGCGTAATTAGTCGACAAAGTTGTCGACTTCCACCGGATTGCCCATGACGATTCGTCGTATGGCTGCATGCGCGGAATTTTACCCGCAATTAACTCAACACCGTCGCGTCCTCGAATTTCCCTTAAGTGCATACCGTGTTGTTTATCGCCCCTTAATTGACACAATGCGATAAGACACATTATCGTCGTCCCACTTTCTAATGCTTTTCGCAATCGCACCATGAACGGTTTACGTAATCTCCAATCTGGGACAAAAAGTCTGGACGTGTTTGCTAAATTTTAGCTCAGCGATTTTTTCCGTGTCAACACATCAAAAAATCAGGGCAATGATACATTAATACGTTTCAAATTATGATTATATGTATAGGTAAAAATAAAACAATTTTGCATTTTACGTAAAATCTATGAATTTTTAATTTATACTAAATATCTAAAATTAATAGTTGTAATTAATTTAAGTACATTTTGATGCATAGTTTTGACGACACAGAGTTTAGTATATTTTTATTATAATTTTAAGTGGTTTTTTTAAATAATTATAATTTTTCATGCATTTTCAATGATCTTTATCTATAGTAGATTATTTAGGAGTATTCTGACTAAATTAAAATTGCAATTATATTACAAATAATTTTTCAATAAATTAACAATTTATATGTATAATGTACAATTTTATTATTCGCAATTTCTTATTGAGGCCAATTAAAAATTTAACGCAAGAAACCTATTAAGAGTAATAGGAAAATTATGGAATCTTGAAATACTTTTACTTGAAGAAGAAAGGAAGTCTCACAAGCACGTTTACCGCCGCTGTGCGATCCAATTAATCCGCGTCGGATAATTATTTTCTGCCTCCCAAGCGAAGCGTGCGCACTCCGGCTTCGTGAGAATACGACGCGGCGCGGCGGCGTGCGATCGTAATTATCTACAGTTTATCTAGGAGCGAAACGAAGCCGGGAGCTCTCTTATCACGGGACAATGGCACATCCCCCGCCGCAATGTGGACAATGAACTTCCGGTGTGCGTTTCACGCACGCGGGGACACATGGACCGGCTCGCGTTTCAATTTGTATCGTTACGTTGCACCACCGCGATATCTCATCACGCACATATGATACCGATGCCCGGTAGCGGACCCGATAGATGCGGGTCGATTGTGAAAGGGAGAGTCGCTCTCCTACCGGTATCCCCGGTATTTGTATTTTCCTTCCACGGGCCCGATACGAGCGCGTATTAAATTTACATAAATCAATATTAATATGTTAAACCGCTATCTACAATACGGAATTTTGTCTAACGCGATGTCAGAGATAAATTATTTCAACGGTGACTTTCTTGTTTGATTTACATAATTAAGATAATGCCTTGCTAAATTATACGCGGTATACCGACAGTTACAATTAACAATTCGTTAAGTATGCGGGTTTGCCTCGTGACACATACCGTCGTGCCAATTAACTTATAAAGGAAGTATCTACTTATTTCCGGTTTACAAAAAAAAGCAACTTTTAGAAAATACCTATTATAATTTTACATATTATTCGAATTATTCAAATGTTATTCCAAACACATATTATTCATGAAAAGAAAGTAGCTCTTAAACTTCCTCATATTTACTTCTTTTTAATTTAATTTAATTATTAAGAAAATTCAATTTGTTTGGTCTATACATATTCCACAGTTACTTTTTAATTAAAACAGTTTCTATTGCTTTTTATAACAAACTGGTAAACGTTCAATATTTTTTTTAGCTTGTGACCGAAATTGAAAACTTTGTATTATCCATTATTTACACAGTAAAACAAATATGGCATGCAGTTAAAATATGCATATCCTAAAAATATATAAAATATAAATAAAAATGAGAGAGAGAGAGAATTTTATTCTTTGTGGATTGCATTGCTTTACGTTCATTGGAAAAATAAATTTTTATTAGCATTTCTCCATTCGTTCGTTTAAGGGTTAATAAGCCTGGATCAGTAGCGATGCGTCAGCAACGATCGTAAGTAAAGGAGGAATGCGCTCGTCAAGTGTCAGAGAATCGTTGACACGATCGTGTATCAAAGCGTCACCATCAATGAACGAGAAGGGATACGAGGTCGTCGCCGTTATCGCTCATAGTAGTAGAATTTCTTCCTAGAACCGAACCGATGACATATAGATAACGATTAGTCATCCGGTCGATTCATTAATGCTACGCCAATCGAATTAAGGCCGGGCTTTTCTCGCGTGCATTAAGTGGGTCGACCCTGGATGCTGCTGGCTGATTAGCTCTCTCACGGAGCTGACTGCCGACGTTTCTCTCCCTCTCTCTTTCATCTCCCTCTCTCCCTCACCCCCCCCCCCTCCCCTCTCTCTCTCTCACTCTTTCTCTCTTGCGTCATCATAGTATCGAAGTCGACGACCTAGTTTTTCTCACCTCTGAGGTCAGGCGTACTGTGGAGCGTAAAGGGGTCCTCCACCCCTGCGAGTGCTCTCGTTCGTTTACATCATACTCATATTTAAAATAAATTTTACCAACCAACTTTATTATCTCGCAAATTGTTCATTTTATATACGCAATAATACGTAGAACAAACAATTTGCAGCGCCACATCTTTTATATTATTCAGTAACATTAAAAAAACTTTTGTAATATTCAATATGTTTTGACATTTTATTGAATTCTATAGGATTTGAGTTTCTATTGAAAATGTTTCTAGATTTTCTGTTATGCTCTCGAGCAATTATACTAGTTACAACATTATACATTAGTGTAAAATCTAAACTCTTGGAGTGACAATTAAATGTGTAAATAGATTGAATTGTATAACAGATTAATTGCAGCTTTTACTTTCGTTTTAATCGAATATATTTTTTGATGACAATTTCTGGGATAACTATGCTTAATAAAAGGGTCGCGGATATTTATAGGATGGAACCAGGGTGCTCGCACAATTCAGGGTGTACCAGAAATCGATGAGCTTTCGTGCGCGCTCGCAGAAGGCACCAAGAGCAGTTTCCCCTCTCTCTCCGCAAAATAATATACTCTCTCTCTCAATGTATTTCAACATTGCGTAATGAATATTAAGTATATAATAAACTACTTCGTACAAGTTTCATCTTTGTTATAAAAGAGCGTCGCGTAATAAAAAAAGTAGGTTGCTGTCATAATTTTTTAGTTTTATATGTGGCGAATTTCTTACAAGCTATTTTTATAGCTGCTATGTACCTTGTTATTAACGATCATTTAAAAAAATGATATTAATAGAACAAGATCAATCCTCTTTCAATAAATCAAAGTGCAGCGCATTCACGAAACAGTCAATTTTTTTTACTTATATCGTTTCCTTTTTCTTTGACTTCCAGAATACAATGAACGGACCAGTTTATGCGTCATCTTGTCCCGCATTGCAGTCGAATCTGTCGCTACACAGCTCATCCTATTACAGCGAATATAGCGGCACCACGCGAAGACGGCTATCCTCCACGGGCGAGGCGGATACTTCCGCAACGTCGAGTTACGAGGGTAGCGACAGCTCCGAGAACAGCGACGAGTCTCGTCTCGATCCAGTTAGCCAGATGGAACGCGAGCAGCTCGAGACTTTCTTTCGCGGATTAAAATCGCAGGTGAGCCTCGCGCGAGACGCGATAAATTATACACGCGTGCAACTACAAACGCGTTGATTAAGAAATAATAATATTAAGCGGATTTGTAAGATAAATCGTGTGCATACATAAGTGTTATGTAAAATATGGCTAAAATATGTATTCGGACCCTGAACTACATGTGATACATTGTTTAAGGGTTAATATCTGGCGTTTCGTGCTCCGCAGGTATTCGTCTGTGAATCACTGGCGAACCTGTATCTCGGTAGCGCTTCTCAGACAGAGAGGTGGGAGCTCCGTTTCACTGGAATTCCCGTGGTGGTTCTCGATCTTGGGGAGACACGATCAAGATCCAAGAGACGGATCCAAATCTTACTGGCAGAACGCGGTACATGCTTCACCCTCTGGCGCGAAACTATCGACAACCTCTCATCGTACAAGGTGGAGTATCACTGTTGATTAATTCAAGTTCTAAACAACAAGCTCGCTCGTCTCTAACAATATGTTTTCCGAAAGAGGGATTATTATAGAAGTTACGTAAAATATATATACAATACCCAGCATAAAAAATTAACAGCGATAAATAATAATTAGGTATTCAGTCTCAGACTATGATGCAAATTTCGAGATGCAATATTAGGGGCAGACTGTCTGATTCATTTATGCGTTCGAACTTCTTGTTTACCTCGTTAGATAGATTACGTCGTGCTACGTTACAAAGCGGATTAAATTTCAGTATCGGACATTTAACACCGTTTCGAATTTCTTGCTTGTGCTTGCCAGACGAAACAAAACACAAGTAGTCTAGCGTGATATGAATCGCGCAAGTACTTTTTAAAACTTTAAACGACTTTAAAGGGATTGCTCGTCGCGGAGAAGTGCAATTTGCATTATTCTTGATCTTTCGCGTTCTACGTGATAAAAGCTATTGAAATGCTTGCAGGTGTCCGGGCCAGCCTTCCACACGATGTGTCTCTCGTCGGATCACACTCGCCTGGCTGGGCTCAGTTTCGACAACTCGAAGGCGGCGAACGATCTGTGGCAGCACATAGAGCGCCTCGTGTCCTGCCCGGAGAACATCAGCCTATCGGCGCCTGGTAAGAAGAAGAAGAAGCCAGTGCAGAAGAAGGTGGTGCTGCCGGCCAAGAGCAACATCAGTCAGCCGTGTCAGTTCCAACACGTGACCAGCGTGGACGCGGCCGATCGTTCGCGCTACTTCTCGCTGCAGACGCTCGTGCCGGCGCTGAACGAGCTGGAGAGCTCGCTGGAGGCGAACTTCTGAGACAGGCCCGACGCCTCTAAGCTCTCATAGGGTCGACGCAGCAAGACGCCCGATCCCCGCCTTCTTCTTCCCCGGAAGTAATCCCCCCACCGAGGGAAGAGGGATCCGGTTAATGTCGCGTGCGAGAGAACAGAAGTCCTACGAGTACTCGCGCACACGGGCGTCTCGGATCGCGAATAGCGTTGAGAGCTGCCGAAGGGAGGCGAACACGCCGGAAGTCGACACTGCGCGGATTCTATTGGAAAATCCTTTTATCTTCTTGCTCTTCCTCCGAAAGTAGTCGTAGAAGATCTAAGACGGGGAGGAGATATATCGACGAAGCTTTAACGACGACGAAAAGAGAGAAGGCGGATACATTTCTCGAAAAGTCCTCGCGGACTCCTGTAGTTTTACTCGGATTCATCTTTATCTCATGTCTCTTCCGGTATAATCAGCCAACTAGTTAGTAAGAGAGTTAACGAAGTTAAGTAAGAACGCGCTGAATTTCGATTCTCGCGTTATCCTCGTTCTCGCGCATCGACCGCGGATCAGCGTTCCGAAAAGCGAGGAACCGAGAAGCTCGAACTTCGAAGGGCCTCGGAGAGACAAAGAAAAGCGCGAGAGCAATCACTGGAGGAAGGAGATTCGCGTCTTCCTCGAGATAGACTAATCCGTTAGTGTCACGCGCGCGACCTACGGAGATTGTCCGCGGACCAAGGCGGAACATTCATCAATCCTTCTAAGGACACTCGAAAGTGACCGCGATTGATGCCCGCGACTGCGAATCCTGACTGCACAGCTCCGGGCGAAACAGAAAGTATCCCCGGGGCTTTCCGGTGAGACTCTCCGAGAGTCTCGCGTCACGCGCCGTTCCACTCTCTTTCTCTTCGAAGAGTCCTTCGAGTTCTAACTATCGATATCGTGAGATTTATTATAGACGCAAAGAAAGTCTCTATCGAACGTTATACGGCGATAAATTATCTATTCGTGATAAACGTTCTCGCGTTCCGGGGGAACGCTTTTGATAGATTATTTCATTGTCATTAATGCACCGCGCATATCTGGTGTTGAACTTTTAATTTCTAGATGAAGTAGGGAAAAGAAATTAATCAAAAGAAAAATTGAAGATGACGATATATAAATGATAGAAATAAAGATTCATTTTAATCACGTACATATAATACATTTACAGTCTCTTTAATTCGTGTAAAGTAGAGAAATTTTTGTTTTATTTTTTTATTTCGCGCGCGTACACGACGATTCCACATGTACCTATTTTTAAAGGATCTTTAGAGAAAAATCAGGACGGCCGTCCGTCTTGTCGCACTTTGCAATTCGAATGCGGCGATGTGTAATGTGAGGGGAAGAACAAGCGCTTTCGTAATGGAATGTCAAAGACGCGAAACCTTGACACGAAAACCAAACAGCGGGGCATGCGATTAGAAAGAATCATGCAAATATATGCAAAATGTACTTCCGGGAGGCATCATATCGATTGTATACACGATGTTGTTTGCTATTCACCGCGGAAAGAAAGCTTTCTCCCCGACGGAGGAATTCATACGGAGGTTGTTCCGTACAGTTTGTAATTAAAGGCGTCGCGCTGCCGCGGTGAAAACGGCGTCAAAGAGGCTTTTAAAGTGCACGATGTGAATAATTGCGTCGTTACGAAATTAAGTTTAATGCTTTCCCCGACTGCATTCACCGTAAAATGCCAATAACTTCAGAAGGGAAGACTTAAAGAATGGAATGGCAATTATCTTCACAATTAAAGGAGAAAAAATCTATTTACTTTACTGTTAATCAAAAGGCAAGACCGGTCGCAGATTCAACGTATTGTAGCAGCAACGTGACTTTAGATCAGCGAAGAGTTGGGGCGTTTCGAAATATTATGGCATAGTAATTAAAATAACGTTAGACAAGACGTCAGAAAAGAAACTGAAGAAGAAGAGCCAGTTCTTCATAACGTAGAATGTTAACGTAAAAATCATTGACGTTTATATGTTGTGGATTCGTTATAATTAAGTACGTAAGATTGATGCGCGATTTCGGTAAGCGACATAGGAGTCGATAAGTCAAAGAACGAAATACTGCCGAACACACAATTGAAATGCAAACGCCACTAAACTAATTAAGGCTTACGAGCGACGAGCACTGGAAACGAACATTGTGCCAAAACGTAACTGAAATAATAAGAGGTCTTAATTAATTGATATATTCGAAGAATCGAGTATCATGCGCTTCCGCTTGATACGATGACTTGACGAAAAGCCAGTCCACATAATTAAGACTATTACAACAATCTAACCAACGTGTTTCCCAGTAGGCTCGTAACGTTCGCGTATATAACACATTACGATGTTCATTAGATAACTAATTACGTAGAATTAGTCGGATTGACGTGTCCATTTATAGCAAATCCTACTTCCTACCCCACGAGTCGTTAATGTGTCCGTAGATTTCGGTAGAAATTTTCGATCTTGTTGTCGACAACGTGTACGCTCGATAAAACTGTTAAACTACGAACATCTACACAATCATCAATTCTTATCCAAGTGAAATAATATTAAAGAACTGATTTTTAAGTAGACATTCTTGGGTCAAACTGGGACGTTCCATATTGCAGTAAAAATATTATTCTTGCAAGGATAATTTAATTTCATATTTCGAGCATACAGCTCTCCATAAATATGTCTATCTATATGCATTATATTCTTTTAATGCATTCGTTTATATCTTTATAATTACACAATTTGCATTGAAGTCTCCTTTCAATCTTTCTTTCGTATTATTTCACTTAGACGTACTTGGTCCATAACTAAACATGAAGATGAGTATTCTTCCCGAGAAAGAGTCGCGCGCGCGAAAGAATGTCGTTTTTAACGACGTTTGCAAGAAGACTGGTTTCACCATCCCGCGAATGTAGGCACACAGGTTAACAATAGGCACCTATGTAGTAGTAACGGTCATTAAAACGACTTGATTTTAGCCTTTAGGATCATCTAACGTCGCGAACGTCCCTTCAGCGTCCCATCCTCGTTTATATCGCTTTCCGAAACTTCCGTTTCGCTGGGCGAAGAAACGCGCACGCGTGTTTCGCTTTATAATCCATTGCGAATCAAACTTTTAGCGATTAAGATTAATTAGCGTGAATTAGTAAATATCTAAGTTAGGCTCGCCCGGAGGAATCTTTTATCGTATTATATTAGCCGAGACGTATGTACGTATGCTTTCCGCAGGATTTATACGCATATGTTTGGTCACGTGAGTCGTAAGTTTTCTTTCGAGAGAAAATCTGGGCGATTATTCTATAGACATTTTAAATAGATACCGTAACTACGAATTAATACTAATTTCATTATCTACGACTGTGATATAAATATATGTATTTGTATCGTTACGTTTCGTAACAAGTATCCGCATTAATTAATCACTTGGAGACATAAGTTTATGAATATTCTATGTAATGATAATTATTGTGCTAATAAATAGTATTCATGAAACAAAGTACTCCGGATTTACTTATTACTGTTTAAAATACTGATTGAAAAATTTAGAAATTTTTCCATATAAGCAATTATCATTACTATAATAAATGATAATCTAAATATATAATAATACTATAATAAATGATAATCTTTAAATTAATTGAATTCTTATTTTTCTTGTTGGTCTCAAGTCAAATTGCACATTGTTTCCATTCTTTCTCAAATATTTATTGCCTAATCACTTATTATGTGCTGCATCAATGCTTATAATTGTGCTGAAGTGGCTGTACAAGCTTTAAAGCTGGCGCATCAGTCACTTCCAGCACAATCGAATGCTAGACTCTGATAGATTCTACTTATTATCAAAAAGCAAATATTAAATATATAGATGTATATAGTATAAATTTACGTGATAAATGTGTTGCATTCGGACCTGTTATCTTATGTTTTATTGAATAATTATGCAGATCAATAATCCTTGTGGAATTTTGAATTTAATTTTTCCCAGTATCGTACATGTTTATTTTGACTTATTATAGATTTTCTTCGTTGCTCCTTATTCTACCGTAACATCTGCCGAGAAAAGATCAGTGCACGGCGAATATTTTAAAAGGGATACCTTCATGATATCTCATCGATGAGTATACCATTATTCGGTATCATACACTTGCTACAAGATAAAAGTGCGGTTCGTTGAGAACAATCAGTTCCAAAGATTCTACAGAAATCAACTTTATCGAATGGCGTTGCCGTTCACCGCTCGTAATAAACTTGTATAAAATTTCGTATACGGAAATTATTATCCAATATTATGCACATATCTGTAATGATGCCAATCAATGTGGCATTTTAAACTTTGTCAGTAAAAAAACTAATGAATGAATAAAATTGTTCAACTGATTTTACCGTTTAGTTTTCATTTTTATCATGTTTTAATATCAAATCAAAATGGAAACATCAATTCTTTTTGTGATCGCAAGTTGCACCAATTCTGCTTATTGAGAGCATTATATTTATTTGGAAATCTCGTTAATGATTTTTAATTTTTAATTTTTAATTATTTCAAAATCGGAAGTGGGAAAACCGATGTAACATCGATGCAAGCAAACAATCATGATTTATGCAGGTATTATTCGTTATGAAAACCGATTCTTCAAACGCCTGTAGTTGCGCGAGGGATCGATAAATCACGAATACACGTATTGACGATATTTCCTCCGTATCGATCTGCGGCGAATAAATCATATAATGGTCCAAATATATTACCGCGCACCATCTCACCGCCGAAATCCCGATATGTATCTGCCGAGGAATCTCGCGCTTTTGACGCGCTTGTACTTTGTACTCATCGTGTATATAGGAGGGAGGCCCGCCTATGTATCTGGGTGCTCCAGATAGATGCGTCTCCGATATGAGATCGGTCGGTTGTCGAGCCGGGTCCCGAATCGAGTAATGACAGACCCAGTGCCGCCTCCCGTGCATCTCGCCCTCCCTTGTTTATGGGAATCATCGGATTTACATCAGAGCGATCGCGATCGCATGTGGGTGGGTCTCGAAAGGAGCGGACGCGATAGAGTGGGTGGGAACGATACACTTGCTCATGTTAGATGTATGGGAAAGTATTCTTAAATACAATAGCCATTTAACAAAAAAGTGGAGTTTATACGATAAACTGTAAAAATAACAAGACACGAAAAAGAGAGAAATAAGATTGTTCTTCTTCTAGAGTAAATTAATTACTTGAACTGTTGTATCCACGACAAGATTTCCAGCAGTAGTAACAGTGTTTACAAATATCTAGGTAACTACACGAATTCGTATACAGATGTATTTTCCAGTCAATATAAAAATTTAATTTCGCAAAATTTATTAAATAAAAATCGCGAAACAATATTCGTGGACAATAATGCAGAAAGAAAAATCTAAAATTAATACAATTTTTCAATTTTGTTCTAGTTATATTGAATCGACTGTTCTGGAAATTTAATTCGGGTATATTTCACATACGTCTGTCAACTCTTGATAAACTGGAGAAAAATTGGAATTATATATTTTAAAAATAATAAAGGCGATAAACTCAATTTTTCATTTACTCGAATAGATATAATCAGACATTCTTAAATGTGATTAATTATAGTTCTTCAACTAATGCGAGCATTGTATCAATTGTTTTAATATCTGGAATACCTGACGACAGTATATTACTTATGCTGATCATTATACTGCACAAACTAAATGCATTGTCAAGCTGAAAAGAACAGTCATTAGCAACGCGTATATAATTTATGTATTATTTTATAAAAAGAAAAAACATTTTCCGTTCGAGAAACGTTGCGTTTCATATATTAAAAAATTAGTATACCGATACCTCACAGCGATTATTCGAGCGGGCGGATATCCATCGGCGGCATTCTCGCGAAATTAACAACCGACCAGTGTTTTGGGTCACATACTCTACGAACCAACAAACATAGCATCAACGACGATGGCCGTTAAGAAAACGAAACAAGTAACATAATGAAATTGGAACCTTTAATTCTCTATTTAGATTTTAAATGTACGTAAAATGAGCGATGGAATATTTAACGTTATTAACGCTGTTAATTTCGAGGATATGTGTACGGTTCTACGTCAAAGCGCACAATCGTTGCATATGCATGGCCGACATTTACATGATGTTTACATTAAATCGCACTATGCAGCAAAATATTCTTAATATAAGCTTAATCAATGTTAGATGAGATCTGCATGCTTTTATAGGCATGAGCATAATTCACGCGAAAGTACATGTAATACTAATAGTAATCGTTTTCATACACGCAGCTAATGACTCTCACCTATAACATCAATCTGTAATCTACAGCATGAAAATTGTTGCATTATTTTATAACAAAAATTAATGATTCTTTCTAACTTTAATGGTGTTCTGAAATCTTGTTTTTACCGAAGAACTCACGTCGTTCGTATTGCGTATTGACGAAACGATAAATTCGCGATTACGTGACGTGAGTCGATTTTCTCGCGCTAAATAGGACATTTGTTTTGCGCGGCTGCGGGAAAAATAGAAGAGAATCACGTGGGCGGTTCGTTTACGTGCAATTTGCAATTCTAAAGCTCGCGCCTCGTCACCTCGTCGAAGTTTCCGGTCACGGTTCATTGGCGCGAGATGAGTTCGAGCTGGCCCGATCGTGCGGTGCGATCGATTAGCACTTCGTACACCTCGCTGACGAACAAGCGGCTAATTATTCGTCGACGAGGCGCGGATTGTATGCAAAAACCACTTCGGTCGTCGCACCCGGAATCGTAAACGGACGCGTATATATACTCCGTCGCTGTCACCGATTCGATTCGATTGCCGTCGTTCGATTCTCTCGCCGCGGCTCAAAACCTACATACCTAAGCGAGATAGCAAATCGCATGACGCGAAACCGCATTAACATTCTTATCGCGTCGTACGCGACGGCCGGCTTTGTCGTCAACATCCTGCGCTGCATAGCGAAAGTAAGGACGAAGCGGTATTGAATTGTTCTCGTTCCAAAGTGTAAGAAAAACTCAGAAGCATTACACGGCAATTTATGCAAATCCCAAAACACTGTACTGTAAGCCAGCTGAAAAAAGAGAGAAAGGAAAACTCTTTATTTTCCGTTCAACATTTAAAAAATTATTCTTTATCTCATCTCGATCAAATTTAATGTAGGCATGAAATCTCACGCTTCACAGACCATTCAAGCCGTGCCTGATAAACGTTTCGAGTTCTCCGCGAATGACGTAAAATATATCGAGATTCAAGATCGCCAAGTGCCGGCACGGGGTTTTCTTCTGCCGCGACGCAAAGCGGGAACGTTTCGTCATTTTCAGCGGCGGACTTGAAAGCCGCGTTTCGCAGCGGCAGATCAATCCTCTAGATTCTCAATTCGTCGGGAGACCGCGTCGCGATCGATCTCTGCGCGGCGGGACCGTCGTAAATCGTTCGCGAGATTAATCTCGCGGCTCGATCCGCGCCGGTGATCACGATCGACTCGACTCGCGCGCGCTATAAGCTCCGTCGTAGATCTCACTTGAATTTACGATCCGCGCGTTTCTCGATCTCCTCCTCGGCACCGAGGAAAGATCCGCTTCTCGCGCCGATCGCGGAATGCGCGGCATTTTGTGAAATTCGTCGTCGTCGCGCGATGGCCGATGACACGCGACGAGCGGCGTGAATAACGCGGGCGCGTAGACGATGACGTACGGTGCACGCATAGAGGTCATGTAACGAGAAAACGCGTGATCGCTCTTATATTTCATATTTGTAACTGCATTTTCGACGCATTGCCGAAAAGTAGGTGATAAATCAAGCATGTCATTAATTATAATAATTTATTTCAGTACGAAAATCTCGCAGATATTTTGAAATAACTTTGCATTGCATGTCGGTTGTCGGATATCTTATAATATTATTATAATATAATAATATTATAAAATATCCGACATTATTTGTTGCTATATTTCTGGCACAAAATATATGTATATGCCGATACCTATGTAAATTGTGCTATTGTATAATGTTATTAGGAAACAAATGATCGTTAATTAAAAAAAAGCTACTGTAAAAGTATCGATAAAAACCATTTACGGTTAAAGCCGGTTTATTAAAAAATTGAAAGGGAGGAAATGGATACAAAATGGAAATACATAACTGAAACTCGCATCTGTCTTAATTAAATTTTCATTTCGGAGATATACGTATATTTTGAAGCATTTTCTGGATATGCGACACTCTCTGGAGACTGACTGCGATTATTCCGAGACCGACTCTTCGCCGCGTTGCTCAACCACTGCAAATGAGCAAACCGACGCAACATCATCGGAGAGTACGGTCTTATATAATCCTGCCAAACCAAATGCGCATCGCTAACTCTTAGCAGACCTAATATTAAGCTCCTCCGGAGCAGATTCTTGCAGCGGCGCGTAATCATGTCTAAATCCTAATTACGTTGATATAACGTACGATATAACGAAGTCAGTCGCTCAAAACGCTAA